GCAGCACCCGCAGCTCCCCCCGCCGCACCTCCTGCTTGGGCACCCTTGGGTGCCCGCACCCAGCCGGGGTGTCGGGTGCCTTGCGGGCGGCGTGGGACCACGGGCAGCAAATGAAGCTGGGGACATGCAGCGAGCGGCAGAGCCGGGGGGGCTGCCAGGCGCCCCGCAGAGCCCCGGGGTGGGAGGCTATCCTGCTGCTTGGCACCACGCTGGGCCCCCCCGCCGCACCTCCTGCTTGGGCACCCTTGGGTGCCCGCACCCAGCCGGGGTGTCGGGTGCCTTGCGGGCGGCGTGGGACCACGGGCAGCAAATGAAGCTGGGGACATGCAGCGAGCGGCAGAGCCGGGGGGGCTGCCAGGCGCCCCGCAGAGCCCCGGGGTGGGAGGCTATCCTGCTGCTTGGCACCACGCTGGGCACCGGCGGGGCTCTGCGCTGTGGTGCGGTCGTGGACAAAGCCATGCGGCACGGCCAGGAGGCCGGAGCTGGCCTGGGGTCCTGCCGAGGGAGTGGAGGGGCTGCGGTGTGGGCGCCCCATGCACCACGGGCACCCCACGCACCGCAGGCACCACACGCAGCACGGCTATCCGAAACACCACAGGCATCTCACGCACCGTGGGTGCCCCATGCCCCGCGGGCACCCTCCCCCTGCAGCCACCCCCACGCACCGTGGGTCCCCCTCCCACGCCACAGACACCCCACACAGCGTGGGCACCCCCAGCCCGTGGGCGCGGGTGCAGCGTGGGTGCCCCGTGGGCAGCGGCCCCCCACGCGGCGCTGTGGCGGCTCCCGCACCGCGTCGGCCCCCCCCCCCTGCCGCTGCGTGTCCATGGAAACAGGCGAGATGCTTATGTCACCTTGGCAAAGGGAACCGGGGAACTTCGGTGGGGATGAGGGACGGGGACCGGGGGACAGTAGGGTGTGGGGTCCTGCTCGCCCCCAGGACCCCCCCACCCACCGTGGCAGAGGCACGGCTGCAGCGAGCCACTGTCTCGGCAGCTGGAGGGGTAATTGGGAGCGTGGTTGGCTACCAGCGCTGATAAATCACGGCCGGTAAAGCCAGTGCATTAAGCAGGGCTTTATTATCAATTATCCCCCACCCACATGGGCTAAGGAGCGTGCCGGCAGGCCTGGCGAAGGGGCAGGGTGCTGGGGGCTGGGCCGGGGAGCGGGGCTGCGGCACCCACCTCGGGGTGCAGAGGGGATGGGGGCACCCCGCTACGGGCTCTGAGCACCCTCCTTCACCCCAGCACTGCAGGACCCCCAGCCGCTCCCCCTGCGCAGAGCCCCCTGCTCCCCATGCCCTCCAGCCGCTGCCACCCCGGGTGGCCGCACGGCCCCTCACCATAGCGCCTGGCCCCCCACCATAGCGCCTGGGCCCCCCAGCATCAGAAACAGCAGGTGAACTGGTGCTACTGGGCAGGGAGAGACTGCGGGAAGCCTCGCTGCCCAGCTTGGGGGGGCACTGCCAGGACCCACCACATGCCAGTGGGTGCCCCCCCAGCCTGGTCCCTCTGGTCCCCCAGGGGCTGATTCGGCACCCAGCACCGGTGCCATGCTCACCGGCAGGGCCAAGAGCAGCAGCCGGGTGCCTCTGTGCCTGCCGCCGGGAGACGCTGGGAAGGTCAGCGTGTTCTTGGCGAAGAGAGGCTGCCCGCCGGCGGCTGCAGCAGCGCCAGCCCCGGCACCGGCACACCGGTGTGTGCCCGCTCGGCACAGCAGCCCCCGGGAGGGAGCAGGCAGCTGCCTGCAGCAGGAGAGTGCTCCGATGGCACGGGTCCGCCGCGAACGCTGCTGCCTAGCCGGGCCCAGCGCATCGGCTGTCCACAGCACGGCACCGAGCCGTTGCCAGCAGCCCTGCCCCAGCCTCCCTCTGCCCCCCGTCCCCTGCCTGCACCCCTGCCTGGCGCAGTGGGGACCTCGACACCAGCACCTGCCCTCCCTGGCTGTGCCCCCCTCCGGGGACCTCCCCAAATCCCCACAGCCTTTGCAGCCAGCAGATTCAATCCCAGCTGGCGCCCCATCCATCGCGCCCGCGCCAGGCCTGGCACGCCATTAACATGAAAGATTTCCTCGCACTTCTCCGGCGCCCGGCCTGCGCCCCAGCAGCAGGTAATTAAAGCAATAATTGCTGCTGATTGCGTTGGCCTAAACGAGGGAAGGCTGGGCGTCAGGGGGAGGGCAGAGGATGCCCAGCGGTGCCCAGGGAAGCCTGGGGGTGCCAGCCCTGCCCATCGCCCTGCACACAGGGGTCCCCACCGCTGGCACTTTGCTCTCTGCAGGACGCAGAGGAGGGGAGCTGCCATGATTCACCACCATCAAAAAGCTCATCTGAGGCTTTGAGCCGGGCACCATCCTGCTGGGAGAGGCTGGCTCGGAGCCGCGATGAGCCGGTGCTGCCCTCAGGGGATGCCCAGCCAGGGGCTGTGGAATTGCCTGGCACTGCCCAGCTCACGTGGGGCATCCAAGCATCGGCAAACGCTCCCCCTGCACCCACCTCCCCACCCCGCGCAGCCCCCATGGTGACGCCAGCCGTGCCAGCCCCGGCCGGGCAGGGAGCCAGCGGGGTCGGATGCCAACACCGGGCAGCACAGCCCGGCTCCCGGCCAGCCTGGCACGTGGCGAGCACCGGGAACAACACGACGATGGGCACAGAGTGCCAACGCATCGTCCCCTGTGCTCCAACGGGCACGGTGCCCCCGGGGGTTCCCCCGCCTGCCCCAGGACCGCGTCCCCAATTTCCCTCACCTCTCCACCAGCCGGCCGCTGCCCTGGCCCCCCATGCATGTGCCCCACATGTGCCAGCCCCACGGCCACGGGAGAGGCCGGGTGGAGGCGGCGGGGGCCCAAGGGTGCATGTCTCCCAGCGAGCGCGTGGCAGCGTCTGGGCGCTGATTAAGCGAGTGCTCGTTATGAATGAATTAGTCAGGCGGGTTTGCATGACAATAGAGCTGCCTAATTACGGATTTGAGCTGATAACGCTCTCCCCATTACATGCAATTAGCATGTGCCAGGGCGGGCAGGGCTCCCGGCGGGCTGCGCCCTCGGCCCACCCCAGCACCCGCCAAGGGGGCTGCATGGCCCCAGACATGCCCAAGCTTGGCCCACACCGCCCTGTGCCCGGGGTTTGGGGACAACGGTGCCAGTAAAGGCAGCTGGGGGTGGCAGCCCCTCCCCAGGGACCACCTCTGCCTGCCTGGGGGCTACCGGCCCTGGCACCCAGTGCTGGGCACCCTTCCGCGGGCACCCATGGAGCTAGTCCCCTCTCAGCCCCGTGGCACACACAGACCCAGCGTGCCCAGGGGACCCGTCCCAAGCCGTGCCAACCAGCAGCACTGCACGGGGAGAGGGTCCCATCCTGGCCCCGGCTCGGTGGGGGACCAGGGGGGCTCCCCCAGTCTGGCACTGGGATGGTGTGGGGGGAATGGGACTGGCCCAGCCCCATGTGCTGGGGCTGTCGCTGGGATCCCGAGCCCGGGGAGCCAAGTGGCTTTCCCAGCTCTCCTTTAACTGACAGTGAAGAGCAAATGCTCCCGCTGAGCCCTGGCCCCGCTGAGAGGAGAGTCAAGGTCACCCTCAGCCCCGCATCCCTGCTGGAGTCAGGGGGGAGCCGGGTGGGGGGCGGGGGAAGGCCCCTCCAGCCACGCAATGGTCCTGGGTGCCAGGGTCCGGCCCTGCGGCCTCCCCCGCTCCCACTCATGGGTGGTGCGTGGCTGTGATGGCAGCCCCGGCACCCCATAACCCACCCTGCGGCTGGAGGGGGCTGGGACCCCAGACCTCCATCCTGCGGGCAGGAGCCCCAGGCTGGGCAGGGTCTCGGGGGGGCCAGGGTGGGATGTGATCTGCCCGACACCCACCCAGGAGCAGCACCCAAAGAGCGGGCAGGCGGCAGGGACAAGGGGTACTGGGCAACTGGGCCTGACTGTGATGAGGACGGGGTCCCAGTTTGCACTGTCTGAAGCCAGCCCACCCCAGCCTGCCCCTGGGCAGACACGCGACGCACGGAGCAGAGATGGTGCCGACAGCTGGAGCGGTGCTGGCACCGAGGGAGCAGGGCAGGGCACGGCGGGACGTCCCCGTGCCATCATCCCTCGGTCACCAGCACCAGTCCCGGGGTGGTCCTGGGCGCTGCTGACCACCCAGGTAGGATGGGCGCTCAGCCGCACCCATGGCAGTGAGGTGCCCGCAGTGATGCTGGGGGTGCCAAGCCCCTGACGGCACCGCCAGCGCCCCGGTCCCCTCCTGCAAGCACCTGCCAGGCTCCGCACGGTTTGATGTAGTGCCAGCCCTGCGTGGCACCGAGCCAGAACAAACAGCCCTGGGCGGGCTGCGTCTGCCGCGTGCTCGCCCTGCCAGCCGGCACGGCAGCTTCCCGGCTGCCCGGCGCGCGCCAGCGCTGCCCGCCGCCCTGCCCTCCTCCCACCCCACCGGAGGCACCGGTGCCCAGCCAGGCACAGGTTGTGGGGTGCTGATGGGGTGCAG